TAATAAAGTTTATAAAATATGTTTTTAAGAATATATTTCATAAGCAAAGTATACCTCATATCATTAATAAATTATTGGTTTATTTAAAAAATACTAAATACAATTTAATTTTCTAGGTAAATTTGCTTGGAATACAGTTTAAGGGATAAAATAATATTGCTAGTATTAAGCATAAATTTACAAAATTATTATATACTTGTTGCTATAAAACTAATTGTAATAATAAGATGTTATAAAATATAAATATTATAATAGTTATTAATATTTAATATAACATATTTTCTTTTTTTTTCGGTATTAAGGTAACCTCTTTGGTCTTTTGACTTTATTAACATATTTTTAGGAATGTAGTTCTGTAAGGAGCTACTACAGGAAGAGCATACAATTAGCCACTCATGTAACTTTCTATATTACCTATTTAAGGAGTCCGCCTAATGTTCCCCACCAATTGCTGTATCTAACATCCCTGCTTGGATGTTTCATTTAAACCCTCTGAACTTGTCCCATGTTACTTCACTAGGTCAAGCCTAGATCTTTCGTCTCAACCTTAGGACAGTTATCCTCAAGGTAAACCTTCTGGAGCCTGCTGTTTACTCATTTTTGCAGCTAACCCAGATATCGCTATGACAGAACCAACACTTGCAGTCAGGGCTAACTGTTAAACTGCTATGCCCTTGTAGAGTTCACACAGACCCCAGTACCTACTTCACAGCATATCCCTAGTACTTTAGTATACCCCTGCTTCTTTTACCAAACTCTCAATCCAGATAGCCTGTGTAGGACTACGACCAGTCCATCAGTATATCGGGTCAGCCCGATATCCTTTTCCTCCAGTTCGATCCAGCGGCCTGGTTGGTGGTACTTCCGAGACTCTCAATCTAGAGGTTCTTGCCTGTCCAGCTACTTCGGCATTGGTATCTGTTTCATAAATCTAGCCTTTACAGTAGTACCATCGAAGATCCATGTTACCTCTCTACTCGGGTCTTTCCAAATAGGCTTCTTGTTTTCCAATTTCTACAGATTTACACAGCCACAAGGACTTATCTTGAGTTTGCACTGCTTGATTTGTCGATTTGCATTACTCTGTGTAACAAGTTACACAGATGCCCTATGACCTGCCAGTTATGCTGGTATGACCATAATTACAGGTATCTTAACCCAATCATTAGGAACAGTTGCCGTAATACCAGATTACATAGATGATTATCCAAATTTTTGCTGTCGATGGGATTTGAACACCCAATCTACCACTTGGAGGGTTGACAACCTGACCACTTCACTAGGTCGCCACACCCTATTAAATTTAGTGATATGTCTTAATTGTAATGATGAATTTTATAAAATAATGAAGGAGTTCATTTCTTTCAAAACACAAGAGTTGCAACTTTTAGAAGAGGATAATAATGATAAAAATAATATTGAATCTTATAAATCTGTTGTAGTCATTAATCCAATTGTAACTAAGCATTGTGAACACCCACCAAAACAATGATTCAAGGGTGTATTGAAAGATATTAGTAATGCACATTAAAATCAAGACAACCAAATAGCAAAATGCTTTATTGACCAAATCATATTAGTTTACAAATTTTCACTTTTACTACTACTTAATGTAATGATAGCAAATCCTACTAACAAGCCTAATTTGCCAGAAAACTCTGAACATATTAAAGAATTCAGCATTGTAATACCAATAATCTCAACCAAAATATTAGTAGACTTAGCTAAACAACTTAGACAAAATTATTATTTCTATCACATTTCAGATACCTAGATAGAAATATCTGCAAACACCAGAGACACTAATATGCATAGTACAAATTTAGACAAAACCAAACCTTTATTCAAACCAATAATTCCAAACTCATCAACTGAAATTAAAGAATATCTAAATGCAAAAAACATCGATATAGCAACAACACATATTTCTATTATGCAACAGACCAAAGCCAAAGATACACTTGACCTATTAAGACAGCATTTTACAATTAACAACATTCCAGATGATATATTAGCACTACCACCTCACCCAGAACCAAGCTGAAAGATCTTCTCACCCAAAATCCAACAATGATAATATCAACTAATAGTATAAACATACTAAATGTTAACAACAATACATTAACAATCAACTCACAATTACAAGAAGAAGAATCAAACCTATCTGAATTCAATCTAAATAAAAAAATTAATATAACTACTTATAATATTAGAGGTGCTAATGACATACTAAAAATGCAGACATAGATCGAATACTGTGCAATATCAAACTTGCATATAGTTTCTCTTACAGAAACTAAATTAAAAGAATCAATAGTCAGATTACTAAATAATCTATTATACAAAATATACACTTCAAATTTTATACCTTACAAATTAAATTAATAAGAAACCAGTCTGAGAACAGTCTTGATGATATGCAACCAACTACAACTATACATTCACAACATTAAAACCTTACTAGGCACTACAATTTGTATAGACTTTTTCTTTCCTAACAACAACAAATCTTGCATCATCTTAACTTATCTTCCCTCAAACTATGTCTCTCTCTTAAAATGCACCCAATTTCAATTGCTTATTTGAATTACAGAAGCCAGAGCTAGAAACTAGCACTTAATTATGTTAGGAGATTTTAATGCTAATCAATACAGAAACAAACAACTTTCATTATTCACTGAGTTAAATGCTGCCAATTTAACCAATCTTTTAGCCTTTTATAACATCGAAGCACCTACCTGGCATGGTCCCACCAATGCCAGTCAAATAGATGACTTTTGAATCTCCTCTGATATATTATTGGTATTTGAATCTTTATTAATAGTTAATGCATCAAATATTTCTAATAGTGATTACTGCATTTTGCATACAATTTGGTATATCAACTTTTTTTCATAAAAGAAATTCAAAAACAAAAGAAAAAAAAGAAAAATATATTAATTTAACAAAATGACATCTGAAAACTGGAACAACTTTGAAAATGTCATAAATACTATCTTTAATATGTAAACTATCTCTTTACCTAACATGAACAAAAATGAAATAAACAAGACCTGAAACTTCTAGTTAGCAAAAACTAAAGAAACAATAAACAAACACATTTCTTATACCTTTACAGTACTAAAACCTTTCTTCATACTATCACTAAAAACCACAAAACTGCATTCTGCTTTAAAACATATTAACAAATGCTTATAACATCTTAGCAATAACTCACCAAATAATCTAACTGAAGCCAATTATTATTTGACAAAAGAAGCCACATTAGCAGAAATTAATATCTCTCCAATAATGCAAACACAATTAAGCCTCTCATTTTCAGATACAATAGCACAAATAAAATATCACAAATATATAATCTGGCAGGCATATAACTTCAAGAAAAAACAGAAGCAAAGTAAATGATTAAATTTTATACAAACTGGAGATACTTAGATTTTAAAGACAATACTAGCCATATGCTAGATAGTATACTAAAAAGAAGAGCAGAACCAATTAGCTTTAAAAATTTATTTAAGCAAATGAAATAATTATAAAAAAAAATAAAATTAAAGAAGCAATATGTCTATATTTTAAAAACTAAACCAGAAGCAATTCCCCCAATGAAAACATTTAAAAAGAATAGGAAACAACTTATCTTTTACTTAACAATATCCAAAGCAATATATACAATAATCTTCTGTCTTCTATTACTATAACAAAACTTGAACAAACAATAAAATCAGCACCCAAAGAGAAAGCAACTGGATTTTTAGAAATTGCAAATGAAGTTCTTCAACACCTGTCCTTATTAGCACTTTATTTTCTTCTAAACATATTTAACAACTATATAACACAAGAAACTATCTTTAATCAGTGGTTACAAGCCAACATCTGGCCAATTCCAAAGAAACAATAGTACAACTATAAACTCAACTCTACTTATTCTATTACAATAATTGACCATACTAGAAAAATTTTTACAAAAATTATAATGACTTGATTTACAAATATCCTAATTTGCAATTAAGTATTATTACCTCACAATTTTGCAGCTTTTTCACATCAATCTATATTACAACCTATTTCTTAGCTTATTTACATTCTTGAAGATGCAACTACAAACAATAAAAAAATTTGAATTCTCTCACAAGACATGTCAAAAGCTTTTGATTCAATTCATATATCTAACTTATACAGGCTCTTAAAAGAATTATATTTCAAACAAGGCTATAAATCTATTATCATATTTGTTCTCACATCAAACCAATAAAGTGATTACTACTCTAGGCTTAACTGCATCATATCTAATAGAAGATGGTGTTGACCAAGAAGAGACAATCTCTTCTCTCCTTTGGAAGATATACTACAACCTACTAATATCGAAAATACATAAAAAGCATCAGAGATTTCTTAGTAGAATTCCTTCTTCAAGTGCAAAAGAATACACACTTCTGTAATGGCATACATGAATAATTTATTATGAATTGCACCAAACAAAATATCTCTCACAAACATTTTGCAAACTGCCTTCTTCTTCTACAAATTTGCTAATATAAAAGTCAACTCCTCTAAATCTATCTTAGTTATTAGCTCATTAGATTCTGACAACTCTATACTTTTTAACAATAAACAATTAGTTGCCATTGACAATGGAACACTATTTAAATATTTAGGAGCATGGTTTTCAACTAAGAAAAAGCCAATACTAGTACAAAAAGAAATAATAGCTAAGGCCAAAATCAATTTAAAAAAACTACAATTTGTCAATATAACAGAGAAGCAAGTAATTTATATTATAAATAGTGTTATTACTTTATAACTTACTTATTAATTATACTTCTTATTTCTCTCTACTTCACAAATAAATTTACTTAATAGAGCATGTATCCAATTGGTAAAACATAAAGCAAAACTAGTATGAGAAGTTCCTAACTCCTTTTTATTCAACTCAGACATATATGCACTAAAAGATTTAACTTAGATACAAACTTTAGCACTAGTCTTAACACTTCAAAAAAATCTAAATCATCCTAACTTCGATTTCTCTTTTCTGAAATTGCATTTACAACAATTGCAAGATACAATACTTATAAACACTTCAATTCTGATACAACTTTCTGTATTTTCACTAACACAAATAAATACACAAACATGTTAAATGATAATAGCACTACATGTATTAGAAATACAAACCACACAGGACAATGATAACTGGCCATATCCAAAGAAATTTCTGGGAATACCTATAAATCAAATTCTTTTAAATCATCTTAGAGCTCCATATCTTAAAGAGAAACTAAATAATCACAATATTACAAGCATTGACTAGTTCCTGAATGCAATCAATACAAAACTTTTAACATAGAATAACTTTCATCATAATATTAAAAAAATACCTTGAGGCCAATGTTCCTGTTGGTTTTACTTAATGCAAGACTTAATAACTGCATCTACAAATCCATTTCTAACACTACTTCAACTAAATCTATTTACTTTGGCCAAATGAACATTTAATAAAAAGAGTTAGATAATTACTAAGGATGGAATCTTTGAAAGAATCCACAACTCTCTTAACAAGAACTTAAAAACCTAACACTACATTTTACACTCTAACAATACACTAACAGCATGTCAAAGATGTATACTTAAAAATAGGACTTATTCATCTAAATACTGTTACTTTAATACAACAAAATTAATATATAACCTTTAAATAGATTATAAAAAAAGAATTTATATCGATTTGAACAACTTCAAAAAGGCACTAGTCTTAACATCAACAATAATACATCAACTCTCTAATTAGAAAACACATTTAACTCTAGCCAGACCTCTTTGTTCTTTTACTAACCCTCTAATATCACTCTGGAATACCTTAACAAAGCTAATTTCAACAAGAAAATCTTAACACTTTATATGACAAGTGGTTAACAAAAAGTAGAAAATAACTCTTACATAGTGGCAAAATGCCAACTTCAACACTTTTATACTATCTTTGGTTGCTTTACCAAGCTATAGCCCTCTTATCTAAATACTCTATTAACCTTTATAACATTTGTGTTAACCTCAACAAACCTTCATGCAAACATAAAAATATATACTAACAATTCTTCACTTGTTGATTTGATTAACTATGTATAGTCTATTCAACTATACAACTATCCCACATTTGACAAACAACAACATACTTATCTTCTACTAATGCTAAAAGCAATAACATACAACTATATGATTATGATCACTCTTGACAAAGAACTTCAGATTCAAGAAACACAAAACAACATCTTTCTATTAGACTCTATACTACAAAAATTCTTATATAATTGATTTGTTTCAAAACTTATTGGCAATCCCTGCACATACTTGCTAAAAACTACAATAAAACAAGTATACCAAATTACTAATAGACTAGCCTGGTTCTATCAACAGTGAATTTCCAACTGGCATAATTTACAAAATGAAATTAACTGAACACTATCTTTACAATATATATCATATAAAAAAAAACTC